GTAGAAATTAGCTGGCAGGAGCGGAGCCAGCATGCCACCAACAGCCCTGCTGTGCTCTGCTGGGATGCCTCTGCCTCCTGCTGTAAGACCTGGTGCTGTTTGGACTTCAGATTGGGCTGGCCCAGGCATTGAAGATGCCCTCATGCCTTTGAGGGTTTGGAAAGGACACGCCCCTTTCCTGTTAGTTTGTCTGAGACAAGTGGCGTCACTTCCTCCCGCCTTTCCTCTACTCTTTTTCTCCCTCCCTTCTTCCCTCTGCCTTCCTTTTTTCTTTCTTTTATTCTCTTCTTTCTCTTTTATTCCTAAGGAACTCTCACCAGGAAACCCAATGAAAACCAAAAACTAAACCAACACAATCAGAAATGGTGTTTTCTGATTAGTGGGCACCTTGCAGGGACAATAGCTCTGGGTCCCCTTGGCTCAGAACTGCAGGCTGCGAGCTTCCTGGTCAATGTTAGGCAAGGTGACTCCCTAGGCCCGCAACACCCTGGTTGTCACGGGCCCCCTGTGGCTCTGACACTGTCCCCCAGTCAGTCCAGCTCCTCTCCAGGGAATGCCAGCCAGAGGCAGGTGTCGTGCTAAGGGGGCGCAGACGAGGCAGCCTAACTCTGCAGCGCAGTTCCTAGGTGCTCAGATTGTACTCCGAGCTGCACAAGGTCAGGGCGTCACGACCGACTCCAAGAGGTGCCACGGGATATTTTAAAAATTGAGGAAAGCACAGCAATACTAATCTTCCACTGGCTACCGTGTAAATGTCTACTTTAGGGTAGTTACACTTTCACGATTTGTGCTGAAGTTTCTCTAGACGTCATATCTGTTTGAAGCTAGGCTTTTGGTAGCTGCTGTAATAAAAACCAGGTACCCAACAGAAATCAGTGAGAAACAGGAGATGAGAATGGCAGCGGCTTGAGCAGCGACATAGGGCCTGAGAGACACACACGTCCTGGCTGTAAGCAGTGATGACTTTTTCAGAATGAGAAAAAGCAATATTTTTCTTTCAATATATGTGTACTATTTTTCAAATGGCTCCTAAGTTGTTAAGATACTTATTAAGGTGTTTGGATATCACTACTAAATAAACAGAACTATTAGGTATTCATGTTGAACCA